CGGCCTGTATTAACCAACATCATAATTTATATGAAATACCCAACAGTCACTGGCGATAACCCAATTCACAAACACATTTTCAACTCACGAAGCTAACCGCGGGATTTACTAGCTGAAAATATTTCTTTACTTGCGACCAATTTCGTAACAGAGCCATTAGCTACGCGGCTAACTGTTAGCCGTGTTTTCAAGGCTACCAACGAGTGAGCAACACATTACGTTTTCTTTTAAGATATGAAGTTTTAGCAGCGGGATTAAATCTGTGTTTTGTATATATCAGAGTGTGTTCAATGCAACTAAATAGCTCTTAAAATAAGATATAAACACAGACTTACCTGACAACTTCCAGAAAACCGTCAGCTAGCCCTGTGCCGTTCTTTTTCTCAACCACCGCCCTTCACTTCCTCATAATATTGCTGGGTTCCGTACAGAACACCAGACCAAACCAATGAAGAACTATGGGGGTGCCGGGCAAGAATGAAGCCATTATTTCTCATTTGGAATTAATTGCATGTTTCAGTCTAATTGTAATTCTTAAATAACTTGTCTAAAACTCCGTTTGAAAACATATCTAAATAATTCTAGCATTATTATCAATAAAATACAAAATAATTTTTAACACTTCCCTCTTTGGAGTAATTGTAACTTCCACTCTCTGCCTGCATTGACTTTCAAGGATATGTCCTTTTAAGGAAATAGAGACATACATCCTCCCTGCGATGAGCAATTAAGGAAAGGTGTGTAGTTTCAATGATCCCTGTGGGAGGATGGAAGTTTTTAAATTCCATATTTTATTTATTCTAACGATTCTCTTATTTTCTAAACTATTCAACACATAAATTTATCTTTAATGTATTTTTTAAACACGTTTATAACAGCTGACTTCATTCATTCCTTTAATGGAAAAACACAAATTTAGTCATATTTGGGTCATCCTCATAACTAAACTACGTTGACACTGATCATTTGTTATTTATGATTCTCCTTTGTTGCATTATCATTGGGCTTTTAATGTTGTTTACGTGTTATTTATTGTTGAAGAATATGTTATGATGTCTTCCTGGGAACGTCCTCGTTGAAGATTTGAATAGGTAAATCGAACAGGAAAAGATAATGAAATATTGAAGGAAGTCAAATACTAAACCAAAACAAAATGAAGAAATGTTGACATAGAGGATAATTATAGTCCGACTTGTCCGACGATGGGTCAGACAACAGTTGGTACCACAGTCATTGCTGTAAACAGAGGATTACTGCTGCAGGGTTTCAAAAGCAACACGTGGAACTATTGACTCACAGTTAAAACAGGCCACGTCTGCCTTTGTTGTCCACCTGTCATATCACTTTCAGTGTTAGGGAAACAGCTTCACACTGGAAAAAGTTTTACTCGCAGCAAAGCCAGAGGAAGAAGCCTAGTTTAAAGCTTCAAACATACAAAGAGGTGAAGCATATGGTTGTGTGCTGCCTCATGAACGCATTGCCCAGGCATGCCCGAAAAGGGGAATGTGGCTCATTGAGTGGGTCCGGTTACAGAAGATAAGTAACAGTAAAATCATTTTTTTCGTTGTATGCCACACTTAATTTGTGATTTTAGTAGTTAAACTATTTTTGTTTACAAAATAATTATCAAAAAAAAAAAGCTACAACAAATTTAAACTGTGCATGGTTCACTTACCTTTAGCACTGCACTTTCAAAGCTGATAACAAAATGAGTGTCATGACTCATGAATATTTATATATTTTACATTAACCAGACTTTTACAATTATACATATAGATACCAAACTGTTAGTTTCTACTCCTCCTCTGTGTTTAGGAGAGACAAAACCGAGCCACTCAAAATGAAAAGAGAAAATTAATGTTGGAAAATATTTTACGATTGTATTTTAAGTTTTGCATTTATTTATTTTTTTTACTCAGAATTGCAGTACTGCATTCAACCACTAGAGGCTGCTACTTACACATGAAACTTCTCATGCATATTTAAACACTTCTTGAGATATTTTCTTACCTTTCTTAGAGTGTCACTTCGTGTGAACTGAATATGTTCATATCTCCGAACTTTATATAGCTTCAAAGCATTGATGCAGCACAACACAGAAGATAAAAATAGCCTCAACAGATCCCCTGATATCCATACAGTGGGAATTTCCTGGACAGCTAAACTCAGTTCATTGCTGTGAACTGTCTTTCTGTTCAAATCTTAGTGAGTCAGAGTAATATTGTGGTTAAGCAAAACCCCACACAACACTAGAAAAACCTCTCAGTATAATGTACCATTACACCAGCTCTAACCATAACCTCAAAACTGTAACCTTGAGTTGAATACATCTACACCTTTGTGGTCATTCAAACGTGTCAATAATACAAGACTTCACAGGCTTTATATTTACCAGTTTTGTGCTTTACTTACAGTCATAATAACTAAGTGCAAACTGTTTCAATAAGGTGATAAAATCAACTGTATACTGTAAAACATATTTATGTAGACTATGATACTCTTCATATACCATGGGGACTTCACTGTGCCAATACAAACTTTAAACTTTCAAACAAGCTAGTATTTTGAGGAAGAGTTTATCAGCTGTGGGTGGCAGCTGTTTGGTGAATGGGGCTTATTTTCAGGGCTATTTAGATAGTCCTGATAGATAGATTGGATGTTTTTGGTAGGAGATACTGAGCAGCTACATGCTGTTCTTTGATGCTCAGTCATACGCACTAATTATGCAGTTTACTGTAGCTTGTGGTGTAACACAGCGGCTTTAAAATGTAGCATTGGTGAGTATGGAGGGGATGATGAAGGTCTGTGTGTAGAATATAATGTAAAAGGATAATTAGAAAAAAAAATACTATAACAGTTCTGTGCAAGCCAGATGAATCCAACAATGGAGGGATTTTCATACTGTTTGAATACTTAAGAAAATATGAATATAAACTATGAATTTATATGTGGCATGGTGGAGCAGCGGCTAGCACTGTGTTAGCTGCTGCCATGGTCGGGTCTTTAAATGCTGGTTTTGCACGTTTTCCTCTTCAGGTACTCACACTTCTTCCAACTGTACAAAGACATGTATGTTGAGTTTATGGGAGCTTCTAAATTGACTGCAGGTGTGAATGGTTGTATCATCAGCTCAGTTAGACCTGTGTTGAACATTGGCCCAGAAAACTGTGTCTGTGCACACAGTAGATCGTGCCATCCTAAAATGCAGAATCAAACTTTATCGTGCAAAGAAGCCAAATTATGTGAAAGTTTCAAACAGTTCTGTGCTGAGACACATCAAAATTTGAGTTCTTTTTTGAAAAACATAGACATCACATCATCTAGACTAAAAAGGAGAGAAACCATCTACCTTGTTATTAGCACTCAGTTCATTAAAATGAAAAAAGAAATGTAATTTTCTTTGTCTTGTTGAGAGGTTTTCTATTGAAACTGAGGCCTCGATACAAAGTAAACAAGACAAGTTTGACTGAAAAGTGAAAATCTGCAGATTCCCTAAACACCACACACTGATGAAATACACACTTGTACACACAAGTTATAATAAACTGATTAAGACTAGGCAAATTGAAACAATATGTTAATTAGTTTGAACTTTGTCCCTATTGCCAGTCTTGGCAGCCGGGGGTCAGTCCGCCAGGGCCTCCGGAGTTTGGATGGGGTTTGAACTTTGATTTAATGCATAATGAAAAGTTGTGTTTGATTTGATTTGGAGCTGGATGTTCACACGTGAAACCAGTCGCAGACAAACTTGCTGTTTATCTGATGATTTCTGCAACTCCCTTGTTTTTCAGTTAATGCAACCAGTTCAAAGCTATCACCTTGGAGGCTTGTTTAGTGGGTAAGCTATTTTCATTAGACAGAATGAAGTACTGTGACCCTGCTTAATGTCTTGTATTAGCTCCCTCAGTGTACAGAGGTGGGCTTATCTCTTTTAATGGGCTCACACTTCATGTTGCTGCCATAATGTTTAAGGTATGCTGTCATGCTGATTGCTGACCGTATTATGTTGAACACTGATGAGTGAGAGCCAAAAAGGAAAGAATGGTCAGAACAAAAGCCCCTGAAGTGCCCACTGACATGATATTTTTGCCATGGAAATTGTCAGATGTTTGACCTGAAGTCAAATTCCAGAACAAAGTCCAAACACAAATAGAGCTCAAATTATCTCCACTGGCCAAATGACGTAAAGCTCACTATATTTGCATGTAAATAGAAACATGTTAGTTTATGTTTATGTGCTCTATTAGCCGCTGGATTCTGAGTTTTATTTATTTGACCTTCTTAGTAGCTGTTTATGAGCAGAGTGACCAAGAGGAGACACTCATGCACTTCTCCAAATGACAGTGACACTGAAAGAGAGAGTGACAAAGAGACATTAACTGGCATTTGTTGTATGCAATGAGCATAACAATAGCATTGCTAAAGTTAGCAACGGTCACAGCTGAGACCGCTACAGTCAAAAGCCAAGATAAAAAGCTGCTGGAGGCTAACCAGCAATGCCACACTTTGGGCTATGAGCCATCACAGTCTTAACAGACTTAAAACGAAATTAGAAGATATCAGACACTGACTAAAGAATACTGAAAAACCTTGGGAACCTCTGGGGAAGCTTGGCCTCGAGGAAAAGCTGGTTGATGAGGTGCTTTGGTGGTGTGGCACAATTTCAATTAAAAAAAAAAAGTGGTAGTAAATATTTAAAAATGACAAATATAAATAAGCAGCATTCATAAATACAAAACATGTAAAAAAAAATAAATATTATATAGATTTAATGCAACACTAAAAGTGATATTAACAATTTAACCTTGACATTAATTGGCAATTTAAACTTCAAACACTAGCCTTGTATTTACCTGCATATCAAGCCCACTGGCAGAGACCTGCACCCATAAATGTTTTGCACTATGGGAGTTGACTTGCCCCCCAGCTCTGCTCCTAGCTATATTTATCTCCACTCTCACCATAAAAGGCTGTGACTGCTGCTTGGACTCTGACTAAGGCCAATATTATTTTTGTTGTGTAGACCGCAGCCGTGTGCGTGCCTACCTGCAGGTTTGCTTGGGATATCAAACTTAAGAGTGTGTGGAGTTGGACCATCTTTTCATTTAAAGCTTAGAATTGAGAGAGTTTGTCCAGAGTAAGTGACTACTTTGGGGGTAAGATGTGATATGCAAGGTTGTAGTTGTTGCATATGTCTGTGTAAGCATGCCGAGAAAGTGCCTGATTGCCTGAAACTGTATATCATGTCTTTGTAGCTGATGTTGCAGGTTTGATTTGAAAGGTTTTATGATGGTTCCCTTAAACTGTCTTTGTTGATCAAGAAACTATTTGTAGTTTTTGGCCATCATACCTTTAGTACACTTAGTACAGTCTAATTTTTTCCACTATGACAATTAGATTAACTATTTATGTTCAGCAAAAAGAGTCAAAAAGCTTGCTGTGAACCTACCCTGTATTGACAGTGAATCCACATGCTCTTGACCACTAACTAACCTGACAGACAAGCAGATAGACAGGAAGAAACTCGGAAACTCGGAAACTCAGGGCTCGTGCGAGGAGTGGCCTGCAGCATGTCTGGATCTATACCATTCTACCAGAAGCACCATCTCCACTATGACCGCGGCTACCGTAGCAAGGAGACTCAGTCTAAAGTGAGTCAGTACCAGGCCAGCAGCAGATACAGTGCTAGCGGCAGCGCCTCTGCCGCCACCAGGAGCAGGGGGTAAGGAGAAGGAAAGGGAGGTGGATCAACTTCATCAATCCTTTTTCTTTATGACAGGAAAGTCCTACTACCTCCCTAACACCTACCCCACCCCAGCTGATCAAGTTCACCTCCATCACCCTTGTGAGATCACCTCCCTGACACAACTCTGGGATCGTCTTTCCTTGACACCAAGTAACCATCTTACTCCCCCATGAGTTTTCTTTCACCTTGATCGCCCCTCAAACACACCTGAGGATTGAAAACAGCTTTGAGTCCTGCATGAAGCCCTGTGCATGTAGCCTGACAGATGTCCTTTGTTTTCATGCATGTTGACCAAGTCTTACCTTTAACACAGTAATGTGTCTAAAAGGCCTACAGGAATTTCTGTCACCTTTAGAGGAATGGCATTCGTTAGAAAGGATGTAACGTTATGTTATATTAGAGCTATATGCTATATAAATTGACTGAAATAGCATCTTGACCTGTGTATCATACTAGGATGAAAATAAGAAGAGATAGTTTATCAGTCTTGTCCGTTTGAAAACTCATCCACTGTGCCGTGAATCTTTTTAATTAGTGAGTGTGGGAAACTTGGCAGCTTCTCTTTATTTTTAAGAGGCATAAGGATAGCTGTTCATGAGCTGCTGATTTGTCATCAGTTCACATTTCCTGACATTTAAAGTTTGGAGTATATTGAGCTTTTCTATCCAGGGAATACCAAAGCTCCCATAGTGAGCCTATCTATTAGGGTATCTGGCAAATCCTTAAATACTCTGGCCTGGAGAGTGTGAACACATCAGAGGGCTTAGATTTTACTATCTCATCTTTCCCTTCAGGCAGCTCACCAGACCCCAGATCAGTGCTGAGGGGAGGCAGGGAACATTGCTTTTATGGCAAAGATAGGATTGCATTTATGTGGTTATAGGAGTTTCTTGTAATATGGGATAATCTTCATATCCTCTCAAATTCTATGAGATTGTCCAATTAAAATCTTGGAAATGGTCAGAGGTAAAGGGACACTGACTCAGATAGACATAGGAAAAATGAGGGCAACTGTCCTACTGCCCTTCTTGCTATGCCATTCTGTGAATCCTCAAACACTATTCAAAGCTATAGTGTTGACACTGGACAGATTTCCTTACCTACATCAGGATATTTCACCCTATGAGCCACAGTCATTTCCTGAAAGCAGTTTGTCAGTAATAAATCATTCTAGCATAAACATTACAGAACAAGATTACAACCCAGGTGGGACTTGAACCCACAATCCCCAGCTCCGGAGGCTGATGCCTTATCCATTAGGCCACTGGGCCACTGATTGATTGTAAGCTCTACATAAACTAAAGATGGATTTCTCACTTTGCCCTAAATCTTTCTTAGAGAAACATGAAATGTAGTATGGAAGTCAGTAGGACAGCTGGGTTTCACATTTTGGTATGCACTGAGATACCATCATAGATGAAGGACACTCATCTGTTAATGACCGAATACTGGCTGCTTTTAGTGGTCGTTAGCAGTGTCAGTATTGTCTTTCACATCATATGGTTGTTATAGATGTTGAAAACTTAATAACTGAGGTGTGCAAAGCTGTAAAAAATAATTACAACTAAACCATCTCCACTACTTTCCAACTGAATTTTAATCCACATCTCATCCACCCCTGACCTTGGCTTTGTCCCCACGTTTTTCTGTCATGTTGTTAGTTGCACTGTCTGGCTGTGTGCCAGGCTGATGGTACTCTGTATGTCTCAGACTTAACGTGTCTTCGCACTCTGGCCTGGAGGAGAGCAGACTAAGCCCCTCACCCAAGAGAGCCAAGCCAACTTACTTGGCTGTGGATAAAGACAACCAAATCATCGGCTATGTAGTGCCTATCTTCAGGGGCAGGTAATAACTATCCCTCTATGTAGAACTGGAAATCCAAGATTGCTTTTCAACAGCCTAAAGTTTTAACAACATGCCTTGCTTTCACGTCCATCCCTGGCTCTGCTTTGCTGCCTCCTAGTCAAGAGTTTGCTACAGGACTTTCAGATACAGAGGAAGCAAGAGTGAGAGACACTGCTGCATACATGGCCCGCAGGGATTTGTTCACCAGTGGCCTGGAGATGGAGAGGTCTGAGCTCATCTCCAGGAAGGAGACCATGCGCGAGTCGGCTGAGCGCATCACTCTGAATAAAAGGGTCAGTTCTCACTGTTTTGAGATCACACAAGGCAGCCGTGCTGTTCTTTAAAGTTTTAAAGCAAACATGGAGAACTGCTTAGAATTTTACATCACAGAAACGGGTCTTAGGTTTGGTCTGTTTGGTTGTTTGTATGCGCTTGCAAAAACCTGCATACTTATTTTTTTGTAAATCAGTCTTCTTCTTGACATTACAGACTCACTTCTCATATTTAAGGCACGTATCATAGTCCATAACAGGGTCATAGAGTGTATCGTGGGTCAAAGAAATGCCTGTGTGGCATTATAATGGCACATATCTTTTGCAAAAGCCCAGAAAAATGTTTCTTGAGCCTGGATTATACTTTCTGTTAGTCTGCTGGGGCCCCACTCGGGTCCACTCTGGTCAGAGTGATACAAATTTCATCATCAAATGGTGAGTGCAAGGGTCTATGCGGACGTCTATATGCCTGCCCACTTTTTGTGACCACGTTGACATCTTTGGAGAATTTACATTAGAATGCACCAGGAAGCTGTCCAAGTATAAGCTAGGCTTTAGCTTTGATATCACAAATGAGCATTATGTATTTGTGATGTTACAGTAAACTTTAGGACATGCCAAATTTGCTTTTGTACTTTTGTAATCACAGTACAGCCATCTCAGTCGCTGGGGAGTATATTAGTGAATAATTCTGTAATTCTGCTTAGATAATTATAAGCTAATATTACTTACTATCAGGTTTCACTTTACTTAAGAGAACACAAGAATGGTAGTTAATGGTTAAATAGTGGTTAAGTAATGAGTAACTACTGAATAACTGCTAATTCTTCTTCTCTTCGCATTGCTTGGCATAACAGAGGAAATATGGGGTAGTGGTGAAGTAGTCCTTAAACTACTGCGTAACAATTAAGTATAACATTTCCATTGTGTTGAGTTATATTTTACTGACATAATGTGATTAAAAAAAGAAAAAAAGATTTTGGCTGTTAGTTAAAAGGTTTTCCAAAGAAACTCAAGATAGGTGAAGTATGCTTAATCCAAATGAATCATCTGCACCATTCATCTGTGCTTATATATTGTGCTTTTATTGCTCATTACTTGTGGGATCATAGTAGATCATCCTCTATCATAATATCACAATAAATCCATATTCTAATGCCAATATCAGGCCACAAAGCACAACAATATTTATTTATTGTAGCAAAACTGACCATGGTTGATTGCATCAGTGCTTGGGAATGTAAAGTGTCTGTGGCTAAGTGGTTGTTATTACTACCTCTTACACAAGAAAGTTATTTATGTGCCTGGATGATTATGTGAATTGGTACCCAGCCATTCAAAGAGCATCATGAAAAACCACACTTACCCCCTCACTGCATTTATATGCCTCCCCTGCCGCACAGCCTTACTACTGGGTGACAAATTCTTCAGGAGATCACGTTTCTTCGGACAGAGGGAAGCAGTGTCTCATTGGTGGTATTATGTGTTGAGATACTGGATAGTGAACAAACAGACAAGACCTCAACACCTCATCTTTTCACAGGACTAAGGAAGAACACATCCTTACAGTTGTAATGTGTGAAGATAATATCTAAAGTAGATGTGTTGGTTTTATTTAAATCTATCTACAAGAAAATGGTAAATGTGGAGCAGTTTGTGGTTGGTAGAAGGTAAAAACTGTCCTGAGTGATTTGCTCTATCTTTAGATCCATGAACACGAGGAACACTTCAAGCGTATGAACGAAGACAGCCTGATGCACGCCCCAGAGTTTGTGATTAAACCTCGCTCCCACACTGTGTGGGAGAAACAGTGTGTGCGGCTGCACTGCACTGTCAGTGGGTGGCCCGACCCACGGGTCGTCTGGTAGGTCACCAACTACACGATCTTATGTCTTTCCTCTCTGTTCTTTCAAAAAATGATCTTTATCCATTCCATCTAGATCCATCTAGTTTTTAATGTTTCCTCACTTGATTTTGTTTTATTCTTTTCAAACTTTTTTTGTCTTTCAAGGTACAAAAACAATGTGGCGCTTGATCCGCTTGCCAACCCTGGCAAGTACAAAGTTGAGAGCAGATACAGCGTGCACTCACTGGAGATTAACAAGTAGGTCGTTTCTCCCATCCACAGTACTTAAAGTAGATATCCACATACATTTTATGCCATAAATTAATGTCAATACATATCATCGCCTTGAAGATTTTCCAGTGAGCCCTTTGAAAGAAGGTAGGGTATTTTCATGCAACTTGTGAATCCCAAATAGTGCTATACTACAGCTCTGTATATTAAGTTTAACTTAAAAACATAACCAGAACATCATGGAAGTTAAGATGTTAGACATTAAGATAAAATATATTAGTCAAAGAACTTGTTATGATTACATATACTGAAAATAAAGTTTATTTAATATCTTCACAGTTTTCCAGTGACTGACACAAAATTGGGTTGAAATAAAGAAGTTTGTTGGGGGCAAAATATGATAGGCTGACACTGCTGTTCCTTGGGCCTCAGTTTGTAGTATATGTATTAAAAATACTTTGTTAACATTAAAATATTTACTTTGAAATTTAGGATTCTTTAAACTGAGTGTTATTTTTTAAAGTAGGCATCTTGCCCTGGATTCAGCATTCAGCCATATATGGACCTATGTGTAAATGACTTAATCTACAGGCCCAGGGTCTTGATGTGTAGCGCAGTAGAGGCCTGGGAGCCAGATAACGGAGAAATCCTTTTCCCCTGATAACAAAGAGGTGGTCTAAGGATAGATAGTCTAAGATAGTAGATGTAGAAGTATTAGGTAGAAGATAGTCTACGCAATTTTGCAGCCCTTCTCATCAGATGCATCCCATCTCTGAGCTGAGCTTCATGTTTGATCACTTGTAGCACAACAATTCACTAGCATTAAGATTACATGCAGCTTAAAATATAAATTCAACCACTACTACAAGCTGCTATTCAGTTTAACGGATATCTGTTACATTTAGTGGACAATGTTAAAATGTTTATCTAATAATATGGCCTGTTTAATAATGCATCATTCAAGCTAAAAATGCTGCTAATGCTAGCAGGTTCAGTGAGCAAGCTGTACTCTTAAACGTTATGAGCGTAGAAGACATACACAAATACTTTCTAGTGCAGGCTAATTAAATAGTATAAACTTGAAACAGCCTATATCTGTGTGTTTTCTGTAATTTTATACATTTATCACTTACAATTTAATCCCAAAGCAGCATTTCTTTATCACATAGAAAACCTATGATGTGCTGTTGAAATTGCATTTTCTTAAATTAAAACATCCAGGGGGGGAAAGTGTCGTAAAATTGCTTTACTTTATTTATTCTTTTTTAAACTACTGCTTATCCATCAAATTAGTTAACCTTTCTTGCTAGTCTGTCGGCACGTCACACATCGGATCACTTCATGTACAGAAAGCCACAACACCTAACGCGTGTGACATCACCAGCGTGTCTATTTTTTGCCAGAGTATTTCTGGCCAGGAGTGATGGAACGTTTTACAGTTGGGCTCACATAGTTGGTATTATTTACATGGCTGAAAGGAATTAGGTTGAGCTGGGGGGAGGGGCACCGTACACATGAATCCTTAACACAGTACACCGAACATGTGCATATCATGGACATTGATCAGCTGATGCTCTCCTCTTTCAGATGTGATTTTGATGATACAGCTCAGTATCGTGTCTCTGCCATGAACTCCCAGGGAGAGCTGTCTGCATTTGCCTCCGTTGTTGTCAAGAGTAGGTTTCACCCAATTCCACAGCTAATGCCAATATGCTTATGATCATCAAAAACATATATTAAAAAAAAACTCAAGAGTAATTATATTTTCCTAATTAACTGTTTAAAATTAGTGTGTGACAACTTAAATTTGCATGTGTGTGAAATGAAAACAAAAATTCTGTCCATCAGTGTGATAAAGTCATACAACAATCTGTAAATGTGGAATGTATTAAAAGTGCATCCCGCTGTTCTTCATAGGGTTCAAAGGTGAAATGGATGAGTTCCTGCCAGCACCCAGGCGTAAGTTGGAATTTACTGCCAGTTTTAATTCATGAATGAACTTTTTTCAGGCCACTGGAAAGTAAAATATGTCAATACAGACTCTAAACAGCAAATTGCTATACTAGCAAATAAGCGGATTCTGAACAACATTTATCTTCTTTTATAAAGTCCTTTCATTGGAGCTGTGTTTTGGTCTCCTCCAGTCTTTGGAAAAAAATGATGCAACAGTTACGCTACAGAAAACAGTGGGTGGAGATCTTGGCACGGCCAAAATGACTGGGATCATGTGCAATGAACTTGTGATCTTGCTGCTTTTAAAATGGTGGTTATGAACATGACGATCAGGCCTGTTAAAACACTCGTGGTCAGTTGTATTTAAAGCAAGGTTGGTGCATCCAAACAGCAATAAGATAAAATCAGTCTGCTATTAGTCTGCAGTCAAGTATCAAGCTGGTATTTGAATGCAATCTGCTTTTGATAACACAGCAATTAACTGATACATCAGCGAAAGTCACAAATTAGTTACCATTTTTCAAATGAGTGTAATTCAGTTTTATTTATATAGTACCAAATCACAACAGCAGTCGATTCAGTGCTCTTTATATTGCAAGATAAAGGCCCTACAATAATGAAGAGAAAATCCCAACCACCAGAAAACACTACTCTATAAGCAAGCATTTGGCGAGAGTGAGAAGGAAAAACTCCCTTTCAACGGGAAGAAACCTCCAGCAAACCGAGGCTCAGGGAGCCATCTGCCTCAACCAGTTAGGGCTGAGGGGGAAGAGACAGGACGAAAAACACAGTGTGGAAGAAAAGTTCTTTGAAATTTGTATATCTATTGCCTTCTACTTACACAAAAATTCACATCAGCTAATTACAATCAGAGTCCAGTTGGCCATTACAACTACTTGCAATCAGTTTTTGACATTAAAAGAAAAGCAAAGCAATCACTGGGAAAATGCAGATTTTTTCCTTCTGATTGCCATTTTTTTCCATGGTGTGTAACTGGGCATGTACCATACAGTTTTTTACTAATGAAACAGATGCCTGCAACATGATTGATGATCGTCCAGTGAGTCCAAATGGATTTAAAAGCACAGCATAGTAAACAGCTGTGTTATAAATCTAACTAACCCCAGTGGGGAGCAGGGTGGTGGGATGTTTGGAGAAGAACAATGGGCGCTATTGCATTAACATTTTTGTTGTTGCTTTTTTGACAATGCAGGGGCCATTACTGAAGGTAACAGGGTGTCGGGAGTGTGGTCTGAAAACGATTTTCTCCAAGCATGGCCGTTTTTGTCTGAATAGAAAAATCCACAGTAACATTCATAATAGTCTAATTAAACTGCAGATAGTGAGTGTGCAAAAATGTACTAATTTTTTAATGCATGAAAACATGAATTATTTCAGCAGTTGTTTTTGTGAGAGCTGCAGTGAAGTTTTAGAGTCCCCCTTTTGGTCTGTATTTGTGTTTTTGCCCTTTATCCTTTTACATCTTATACACGCTCACTTTTCCACCGTTTTCCATCTGGGTGCAAAACTTTGATAGTTGATGTGTGCAACACCTGTAGTTCCACTTAATTCAATCTCAGTAGTTTGAATTTGTGAGATTCTTTATATATATTTGTGTGTGTGTGTGTGTGTAAACTGTTTAATAATGATACCAGCCAGTGACTTTGTTGTCACATCCTTTTGTATAGTTGGCCCAGTGTCCGAGTACGGCATCACCTTCCAGACTCACATTGTTGATAAATTCGGTGTATCATTTGGAAGGGAGGGCGAGACCATGAGTCTGGGGTGTACAGTCATCATCTACCCTGCCCTGCATCGCTACCAGCCAGAGGTGGAGTGGTATAGAGATGGTAGGAAGACTTACTGTGATACTGAACAATGCCCGTAATGTACAGTTCTTGTAGATTTAAATCAGTTGTTCTCTGTACTGTAATATGTTTACCTCTTACCTTGCTAATACTTATTGGCCTGCACTCCAGATGTTCTGCTGTCTCCCTCCAAATGGACTCACATGCACTGGAGCGGAGATCGAGCCACCCTGACACTCACGCACCTGAACAAAGAAGACGAGGGCCTCTACACCCTGCGTGTCACCACCAAGTCTGGATATGAGACCTACTCAGCCTACGTCTTTGTCAGAGGTAGGTACATCCTCGCTGAACGGTTTCTTGTCATTAAGTCATAATTATTCTATTTAGATTATCTTTTGACTGATTTAGAAATTAGGCTTTATCTTCATCTGTAAACATGCCATTTGTTTGGTCCTATGCTGCCAGCTGAATCTGGCACACATGCACAGATTCACAGAGCATGAGCAAAAATATCCTCCAGCTTTAATCTCAGCTGTTTTGTCCAAATAACCTTAATAATTCAGATCCAGGTTTGAGTTTTGAGTCTAAACTAGCTCAGCTCTGAAGGTTGGTCCTGCTGACCAACCTTCATACATCACACAAGATTTAGTATATTAGTAAAATTATAAAAACTAATGTTATATATCTAAGATGTGTTCACATAGATATTTCTACTGCAGTTCTTTTACATTAGTCAAGTGGACTTCCTTAAAAAATGTTTTTAAAGCCTATCAGATCTAGATCAAAGTAACAACAAATTAAACCCTGGCACCCGATGATACAATGGCATCTAAAAGTCAAAGTGTTTGGATGTTAGTGATGGTTTTAAATAGGATATCTCTAATAGATACACCACTGAGTGGCAACTCTCTGGCATCTGTTTAAATAGCATGGAAAAATAGGTCACCAGAGCTTATCTTTGCTGCCTTCAAAGACAATCTGACCTTTGAAGCTTCAGCTTCTACATAGGAACCATGCTAAGTATGAGGAGGCTGAAAAATATCCTGCTCATTCTTCTGTTATAGTTCAGGGTCATTTGGTAAAGAAGAATCCAGGTACAGTCTCCACAACAAAACACTATACGATCATGGCTGCAGCCATGCTATTCTTAGAGAGCTCTAATCTGGAAGCTGTGAGCTCAGACACATCCTGTAAATATTAGGGGTGCAACGATACTCGTATCGATATTGAACCGTTCGATACAGT